AGGGCAGGGCTGGACCGGGCAGGGCAGGGCTGGGCAGGGCCAGGCTGGACCGGGCAGGGCAGGGCAGGACAGGACAGGGCTGGACCGGGCAGGGCAGGGCTGGACAGGACAGGGCTGGACCGGGCTGGGCAGGGCAGGGCTGGACAGGACAGGGCAGGGCTGGACCGGGCAGGGCAGGGCTGGACAGGACAGGGCAGGGCAGGGCAGGGCAGGGCAGGGCTGGACCGGGCTGGACAGGGCAGGGCTGGACAGGACAGGGCTGGACAGGGCAGGGCAGGGCTGGACAGGACAGGGCTGGACCGGGCTGGGCAGGGCAGGGCTGGACAGGACAGGGCAGGGCTGGACCGGGCTGGACAGGGCAGGGCTGGACCGGGCAGGGCTGGACCGGGCAGGGCAGGGCCGGGCAGGGCAGGGCTGGACCGGGCAGGGCCGGCCGTAACCTGAGGCCACCTGTAACCCAACCCCGGCGAGGCGGTGGAGAGCCACACTCACGTGTGTAGCCCGTCTGCCTTGCGGGACTCGCTGACCAGCAGCACGCCCTGAGGGCTCTCCAGGGTGAAGTCCACGTCCAGCCCGGCCCCTCCGATCACCTGGCAGGGGCCACAGGTAAGAGCGAGCCAAGGGCCGGGCCGGGAGAACGCACGCGCGCACACACACACGCACACACATATGCACACGCACACACACGCACGCGTACACACACGAGCACACGCACACTCACGCACACACACGCGCTGTCCACCACCAGGGCCAGACACCGGGCTGGGGGCCGGGGAGGGGCTCCCCTGAATGATGGAGCAGCCACGCCCCCTTCTGGGCTCCACCCTATCCCCCATCCTCCTTTGCTTGACCACGCCCACTCCAGACTACCTGTCGACAGGCCCCGCCTCTGCCATCTAGCCACGCCTCCCTCCTGACTGGGTCGCATCCTGGAGATGGACCCGTCAAGGCTCCTCCTCCTTTGTTTGGCCACGCCCCCACTCAATTTGGACCAACCCCAATGCCACGCGTCACTCCGCCCCTTGCTCGGCCACGCCCCTCGCTGCCTCTAGCCCCACCTCCTTCAACCCAAACATCGCCCCGCCCCCGGAGGGAACCCTCTCCCTGGGCCCGCCCCTTCCTCTGGCCCCGCCCCTCACTGCCTCTAGCCCCGCCTCCTCCCAGGCAGCGCCCCGCCTCCTGAGGGGCCGGTCTCCCTGGCCCCTCCCCCTCCGCTGGCCCCGCCCCTCACTACACCAGCCCCATGGGGGCCCTCCTGGCTCTGCCACGCCCCCCACTGCCTCTAGCCCCGCCTCCTCCCAGGCAGCGCCCCGCCCCTGCGCGCTGGCCCCGCCCCCACCTGGTACTCGGTCTCCAGGCTGGCATTGGCCGGCGCCGACTGATAGAAGCACTGCCTCCTCCCCGCGGGCAGCAGGAACGTGAACTCGCCGTCCTGCACGGCCGGGGGCCCGGCGCCGCGCACGCCCGCGGGCGGCAGGAGCAGGAGCAGCAGGAGCAGCGGGAGCAGCGGCGGCCAAGGCGGCAGAGGCGGCATGAGCCGTGGAGGCGGCAGACGCGGGGCCCGCGCCCGGACCGCGCCGCCCGCCATCGCTCGGGTCACCCCTCTGCGCCGCGCCGCGCCCGCGGCCCCTTTAAGCGCTGGCCCCGCCCCCGCAGGCCCCGCCCCCGTCCGACGCCGTCCGAGCTGATTGGCTGTCGCTGCCGCGCTGCTGCGAAGGACCCCAGCCGCCCCTCCCGCGCCGAGCGCGCCGGGCTGCCCGGGCTGCTGCCCGATGCAAATGCGCGGCCGGAGAGAAGCGGCCTCCCCGCGGGAACGCCGCACTCGTGCCCCGGCGGGACGGGGAGACGTGGCCCGTGATCGTCGTCCGCGCGTGACACGCGAGCATCGCCCGCTCAGGCGGTCACGGGGACAGCCCGGCCGGGGCCTGCGGGCGCGCAGTGCGCCTGCGCACGGCCGGGCGGGCTCCCCGAGCGCGGGAGTTCGAGAAGCTGTTGAAGCTCCGGCCCGGGCCGCTCGGGGAGTCGGGCCTGAGGGGGGTCGGGCCTGAGGGGGTCGGGCCTGAGGGGGTCGGGCCTGAGGGAGCCGCGGGCCTGAGGGGGTCGGGCCTGAGGGGGGCGGGCCTGAGGGAGCCGCGGGCCTGAGGGGGTCGGGCCTGAGGGAGCCGCGGGCCTGAGGGGGTCGGGCCTGAGGGGGGCGGGCCTGAGGGAGCCGCGGGCCTGAGGGGGTCGGGCCTGAGGGAGCCGCGGGCCTGAGGGAGTCGGGCCTGAGGGGGTCGGGCCTGAGGGAGCCGCGGGCCTGAGGGGGTCGGGCCTGAGGGAGCCGCGGGCCTGAGGGAGCCGCGGGCCTGAGGGAGCCGCTCTGCCCGGCCGCCTGGGGTCGCCGCCGCCTCCGAGCCCCGTCCTCGAGGCGCGGCCCATGGCACGGCCCCGGGCGGCCCGCAGTGAGCAGGAGCCCGTGTCCAGGCGAGAGGGGCCCCGGGGACCCCCGTCCTCGGTCACACACGCGCTCCTGGCCTGGCGCGAAGGCCGCTCGCGAAGGAGCCGTGGGCACAAATGTAAAATAAGAAGAGAGAGACACAGGCTGATGCTCCGACAGCCCCAGACGGACGTGGCCGGGGCAGGGCGCCCTGGGCCGTGGCCGGAGGACTTGGGCTCCCCGCACGACGGGTTCTCTCTTTAAACATTCATTCATCTTTATTGGAAAGGATGTACAAAGATCTTCCATCCGCTGGTTCACTCCCCAAGTGACAGAGCTGAGCCGATCCACAGCCAGGAGCCAGGAACCAGGACCCAGGAGCCTCTCCCGGGTCTCCCACGCGGGTGCAGGGTCCCGAGGCTGTGGGCCGTCCTCCACTGCTTTCCCAGGCCACAGGCAGGGAGCTGGGTGGGAAGTGGAGCTGCCGGGACTTGAACCTGCGCCCCTATGGGATCCCGGCACATGCCAGGCGAGGCCGTAGCCCCCGAGCCGTGGTGCCCTCTGCCTTCCGCTGATTCTAAATGCTGCCGTGATCTGCGCGTTATCCACTGCAAAGTTAGAGACTCTCCCATCCCCTCTTGGCCGGGTTAGCCAGGAGCCAGGGGCCGCTTCCCGGCCTCCCCCTGGGCGGGAGCACCCCCAACCTGTCACCCCCTGCCTCCCGGGGTGTGAGAGCCTGGTGGGCCTGGAGCGGGTCCCTTCACAGCCCGCCCACAAAAGCTCGGCTTTCTGTTCTTTGGAGGGGTGGATAGACCCCGGAGGAAGAGTGCCAGGAGACGGCCGTGCTGGCCGTGGTGACCCTGGCCTTGATGGCCACGATGGCCCTGGCCGTGCTGGCCGTGGTGGCTGTGGCCGTGGCCGTGGTCGTGGCTGTGGCCGTGGTCCTGGCCGTGCTGGCCGTGGTCGTGGCTGTGCTGGTCGTGGCCGTGGTGACCCTGGCCGTGCTGGCCGTGCTGGCCGTGCTGGCCGTGGTCGTGGCTGTGCTGGCCGTGGTCGTGGCCGTGCTGGCCGTGGCCGTGGCCGTGGCCGTGGCCGTGGCCGTGGCCGTGGCCGTGGCCGTGCGGCGCTGCGTGGCCCCGGCCTGCTCTTCCCGGCTGGCATCCTGTGTTTGTGCCGCCTACCTGCGGTCACTGGCTTTCACTTCCGCCGCTCTCTGGGAGTGAAGGAGGAAGTCCTGTGACGTGGCTTTCTCCTAGGTTTTTACCATCGAGCCTCATATTAATGTAACATTACCGGAAACGCGGCGGCCGTGGAGTTGGGGGTTCCGACGCAGGCGTGTCCCAGCTGGCGCCGCCCGCCTGGCCCTCCCGGGCTCTGGTCGGGGCCCTTTGCCTTCCTGTGATGTCTTTGGCCTTTTTGTTGTGGAGTTGTGCAAGACTTTTCGCGTGAAGCGTGGGCAGCGAACCAGAGGATGGGAGACGTTTCTAACCGCCTGCTGGCCCCTCGCTCGTTCACTCTCCCGAAGCCCTCGGTGGCCCCAGGGTGGGTCCGAACCCAGAGCCCGCTCCCACTCCGGGTTTCCCATGTGGACGTGGTGACCCGGTCCTTGGAATTGTGCCTCCGGCTCCTGGTGTCGGCAGCAGCCTGGAGCCCGGCTCACGAGCTGGCTGGCAGACCAGCATCCTCAGCACCGCTGTGCAGCTGCCTCGGGCAACGCCCACGCGACAGTGAGTCGGGGCAGCCAAAGCAGCATGCGTGGCACCGGCATAGCTTTGTGTGTTTCTGTTTGAATAAAATGACTTGGGGCTCAATGATCTCTGGCCAGTGTTGTGGCATCGCGGGTTAGGCTGCTGCCTGCGGCCGTAGCGTCCTACGAGTGCTGTCTGTCCAAATCCCAGCCAGTCCAGTTCCAGTTACGCTGCCTGCTCACGTGCCTGCCCGTGCTGGCAGCGGGTGGTGGCCCAAGTGCTCGGTCGCTGCCCGCCATGTGGGGGCCCGAGCAGCCCCAGCCGTCTCCAAGATCTCTTTCTTTTTGAAAGGCAGAGTAACAAAAAGATCCCCCTTCCACTGGCAGCTTCGAGTGGCTGCCAGTGGGGGCTGGGCCGGGGCTGGCCGGGGCTGGCCGGGCAGCAAGCAGCTAGAGGGACCTGGAGCTTCCTCCAGGTTGCCCACCGGGGTTGCAAGCCCCCCAAGCCCTCTTGGGCCGTGTGATAACGGGGCTGTGTGGGCGTCCTTGCGTGTGTCTTAGCTGGTGCATCCGACACCCGCCCCCGAAACACTCCTAGCTCCAGCTGACAGAGCAGTGAACTCAGGCGTCGGGCGTCCACCCTGCTCCTCCACCCACACGTGCCCTGGTTCTGTTCCTCTCTGACCTGCGGCTGCCGGGGCCGTGGCGTCGTGGGCGGCAGCTTCTCACACAGCCCCAGGTCTGTGTCTGGCACACACAGCCACACCTAACCGTGTCCTCTGGCTGCACTTTTTCCCGCCCTCTATTGAGGGGGACAGTGTGGCCAGCGGGGCGCAGAGAGGGGCAAGGGGTGAGGGTGGGTGTGGGGCAGATGGCAGAGCTGTGTGTGTGTGTGTTCGCACAACTTCCTGCAAGTGAGGCAACACCGAGCCCTGCTTCTCCTTTCCCGCAGCGACAGCAGCAGGAGGAATCGGTGGGGTGCCCCGGGCCCCTCCGGCCTCCCCTGCCAGAACCCCGGGCCGGCCGGGCAGCCGCGCTGCAGCAGGGATGCCCTGGATGGTCCTACTGCTGGCAGTCGGTGAGTGCTCCCCTCACCCCGATGCCCTAAGGTGGCCTCGGCGCCCAAGCCCCGACCACCCCACCGCTGGCCGGCTGAGCCTGGCGCAGGGAGAGCCTCGGGGTCCCCGCAGGGGCTCGGCTTCTGCAAGCCTGGCTTTCCCTCCCACACGGCCTGCTGCCCACTGCTGCGGAGTCACCGCTGTGGCTACAGAAGGGCCAGCGTGGGAGGGTAGGGGTCTCCGGGCTCCCGGTGCGTCTGAAGGGCAGCAGAGGAAGCCCAGAGAGGGTCCCACAGCCACGCCCCTTCCCCGCAGGCTCCGGGGCCATCCCCGCGCCGTCCATCCTGCTGGTGGCCCCCCACCCGAGCAGCCAGGAAGACCCTGTCCACATCGCGTGCGTGGCCCCCTGGGGCTTCCCGGGGGCCAACTTCACCCTGTACCAAGGCGGGCAGGTGGTGCAGGTCCTGCAGGCCCCGGCCGGCCAGCTCGGCGTCACCTTCAACCTGAGCGGCGCCGCGGGAGGAGCCACCTTCCACTGCCGGTACGGGGTGCTGGGCGAGCACGGCCGGCCGCAGCTGTCGGACCTCAGCGCGCCCGTGCGCCTCGCCTCGCCAGGTAAGGGGGGGGGGCCCGCCCGACCACCAGGCCACCCCTCCAGGGGCCCGCCCCTCCCCGCACGCCGCTCCCCGTTCCTCAGGCGTCGCGGGGTGCAGGGCAGGGCCCCCATCGCACCTGCGCCCCCAGGGGCTGCGCCCACCCGAGCTCCAGCCACACCCAGGCGTGGACGAGAGAAAGATGAGTGAATGAGGGACCTGCCTGCAGCTCCGGCTGGGCATCCCCCACGTGGGGCAGGGCCGCCGACCTGAGCCGGACACGCTCCCGACCGGGGTGCATGCTGGCAGGGAGCTGGGACCGGACGGACGCAGCCTCCCCCATTCGGGCTGTGGACAATGGTCTGTGTCCTTTCAAGATCTGTTTAATATGTATTTGTTGCAAGGCAGAATTGCAGATAGAGGGCCTGTCTGCTGGGTCACTCCCCACATGTCCACCAAAGCCAGGGCCTGGCCGGCCTGGAGCAGGCAGGGGCAGCGTCCCCAGCGCCTGGGCCGCCTTCCACGGCCTGGATGGGAAATGGAGCAGCCGGGCCTTGAACCGGTGCTCCTGTGGGAGGAACACACAGCGAGCGGGCGGCCTGGCTGGTGCAGAGTGAATGAATGAGGCGGAAGATGGGGCAGGCAGGGGGACAGGGAGGGAGATGGCCAGGGGCTGCCCCGCAGGAGCAGGCAGGGACCTGGGGTCTCAGGGCAGCTCCCGGGTGGACCGGTCACCTGGCGCCTGGGCTGCTGAGGGCGAGGGTGGAAGGAAACCGGGAGCCCACGCTGGCAGAGGTGGACCCTGTGGTTTGCAGCCGCCGCCAGGCCAGCCCCAGCCCGGCTGCGATGACAGGGATGCCTCTGTGCTCCGCCTGGCTCCCCGCTTCCCCTCCATCAAAGCTGCCTTCTCTGCCCTCGGCCACTCCCACCCAGAGGGGTGAATGCACAGGGCCCCTCCTGAGCACACCTGAGTGCCAGCCTGTCCCCTGCTGGCCTGCTGCCACCACCAGGAGGGCGTCTGCGTCCCCAGGGCCAGCGCTGCGGTGGCGGAACCCAGCTGCAGGCAGCACCCCAGCGCCCACTGTCTCGGGCCACACACGCTGCTGGCACTGTGCCGGCTTCAGGCACGGCTGTCCGCCAGCCTCTGCACAGATTTCGGAAACCCAGCGTGGGGGCTGAAGTGTGGCAGCAGAGCAGCCCCCCACGTCAACACCCCCACTGCACTGCCCGGGAGGCGGCAGGCCATGGCTCAGGTCACCCAGGTGGGACTTCAGGTGACAACTTGTCCCTTTAACAGGCCTCGTCCCTCCTTTTGTGTCTCTGGGGGCGAAGCAGCAAAGAAGGAGCTGTCTCTCCACCTTTCAAATAAATGCAGTGCGGGAGGTGCGCAGCGCAGCGGCAAGGCAGGCTTCAACACCCCCGGGGCGCCGGTTCGAGTCCCAGCTGCTCCACTTCCCACCCAGCTCCCTGCCTGTGGCCTGGGAAAGCAGTGGAGGACGGCCCAAAGCCTTGGGACCCTGCACCCACGTGGGAGACCCGGAGGAGGCTCCTGGCTCCTGGCTTCGGATAGACCCAGCTCTGGCTGCTTGGGGAGTGAACCAGCAGATGGATCTGTCTCTGTCTCTCCATCAATCTGGCTCTCCAATAAAAATAATTCTTTTTAATTGGGGGGAGGGGTGACGAAAACAGAACGATGTTAGCAGTCCCTAGCCACCGGCTGCTTCCTCTTTATTCCGAGGGGAGTTCCGAGTGGCAGGCCCTCCCTCCCATGGTGGCTGTGCCTGGATTAAACGCTGCAGGTGTTTTGGGGGGCCCCCCGTTCTGCTTGCCTCCATTCCAGGTGCTGCACGCCCGTCCCTGAGCCAATCCCGGTTGTCAGGGGTGGGATATGCTAACTGGCCAGGATTCCGAGGGTGTAGCCGGGCGCTTGGTCGGGGGCGCGCGAGCAGCTGGCTCTCCGTCCCTCTCTCCAGTGCCCGCGTGGATCCTGGCACTGTCCCTGAGTCTGGCTGGGGTCGTCCTGCTCCTTGCTGGGCTGCTGGTTATCACACTGGTCGTAAAGAAAGGTAAGCGGCCCCTCCCACGGGCCCACACCGAAGGGACTGGGTGCTGGCGGCCAGCGGGCGGGGGCCTTTCCTGCCTGTGACTCCCAGTCCCCAGGGCTGGGCTAGGCTGCAGCCAGGAGCCAGGGACACCACCCTGGTCTCCTCCCACTGCTTGTCTGGTAGGTGAGCAGGGGAAGAGCTTCCATCTGTGGGCTCACTCCCCAAGTGACCGCCACAGCCAGAGCTGGGCTGATCCACAGCCAGGAGCCAGGAGCCTCTTCCGGGTCTCCCACGCGGGTGCAGGTCCCCAGGCTGTGGGCCGTCCCCCACTGCTTTCCCAGGCCACAGGCAGGGAGCTGGGTGGGAAGTGGAGCTGCCGGGACTCGAACCAGGTTCTCCCATGTGCATCTCACTGTCAGCTGGGTGGCTGGGCCACGCCGCCGCCAGCCCCTACGTGCATCTTAGAATTCCATTCCTCCCTGAACTTGGGGTTTGCTGGCCGCCCGAGCAGGCCGAGGCTGCAGCTAACACGCCCTTGTTTATTTGTCGCAGTGAAAATGCGCAAGTTACAGAAGAAGAGGTGAGACCCCTGGAGAGCCCACTCCCCTCTCCCAGGTTGGGTGTGGCCCTTCTCCCTGCAGCCGTGCGTGGGCACGGGGGGCACCCGTGGGAGGGAGGTGAGTGTGGGTGGGTGGGCGTATTCTTGGGCCGCCCACCCTCCCCAGCACCAGCGGCGTGCTGCCTGGCTCAGCTTCCTGACCCTTTTCACAGGGAGCGCGATTCCTGCTGGGCCCAGATCAGCTTCACTTCCTCAGGTGTGTGCCCCTCGTGCTGCCCCGGACCCGGACCCTCAGTCAGCTCTGGGGGGCCCGGCCGCCCACCCTCTCCTCGCCACCTTCCTCCCACGCCCTCCGCTTCTCCCCTCGCCCACCCGGAACCCACACCTCTTCTCTTTTTAATTCATTTTGCTTTTACCGGAAAGGCAGATGTACAGACAGGAGATAGAAAGGTCTGTCCGCTGCTTCACTCCCAGTGGCCCCACGGCCTGCGCTGCGCCGAGCCGGAGCCGGGAGCCTGGGTCTCCCACGCGGAGCGTCTCCTGGAGTTGGGGTCCCCCTTGCCTTCCAGCAGTGCGGTTCTGCCGGCTCCACGAGGGGGCGCGGCTCTCCCGGGACACCTCATGCCCTGCGGACTGGCAGTTTTCCCTTTTTAGGATCAGTAACGGTACCTTTGCTTTTTGCTATCGGTGTTGTTATTTGAGAGGCGGCGCGATAGAGAGCGCGGGGAGAGAGACAGAGATCTCCTCCTGCTGTGCTTCGCTCCCCAAAACCTGCCCCCGCTGCCCCTGGCTGAACCCCGAGCCCGCAGCAGGGCCCAGGCGCCGGGCCACCGGCTCGCAGGAGCGTCAGCAGGGAGCTGCGTGGGACGCGGAGCGGGCAGGAGGGCCTGGCGTGCCAAGCCCTGCCCTCTGGCACTGCCTTGGGGAGGCCTGGCGCCATCCCCCTCCACACCCGCTCCCCTCCGTGGATTCTAGACCCGGGGGTGTGGGCTGCTCCCCTCCGGCCAGCAGCATCGTGGCTCTGCAGGCCAAGCCGCCACTCGCAGGGCGGCATCGCGGAGGGGTTCTGCTGACGGCCGGAGCTGAGCTGATCCACAGCCAGGAGCCAGGAGCCTCCTCCAGGTCTCCCATGCGGGTGCAGGGTCCCAAGGCTGTGGGCCGTCCTCCACTGCTTTCCCAGGCCACAGGCAGGGAGCTGGATGGGAAGCGGGGCAGCTGGGACAAGAACCGGTGCCCCTATGGGATCCCAGTGTGTGCAAGGCGAGGACTTTAGCTGCTAGGCTACCATGCTGGGCCCTCATTAAATAAATCTTAACAAGACAACACAAAACTGCTGACATGGGATCCTGGCTTTTCTCTGTGTGTTTCAGACATGGCCTTCGATAACTCCCTGTTCGCCATCTCTATGGTGAGTGGACGCTGCTCTGTGAGGGTCCTGACAGCGGGCGTGGGGGCGGAGCGCCCCTACCAGGTCTAGTGCCCGCTGCACAGGGGTGACATGTCTGGAGGCCAGCATTGGCTGGGAAAGTTCTGGGGTGCTGTCCTTTGGGGGAGCTGCGGCTGTGGGAGGGGCGGTCGGTGCTGGCCTGGCACTCAGTCGGGGCCGGGGCACGCGGTGGTCTTTGGGGATGGCTCGGAGCTGGGCCCGTCTGCGGGTGCGCACCCTCTCCCGGGGGTGCCCAGCTTCCATGCTCTTGGGAGCGTGCCTGGCCCTTGGCTGGCTGCCATGGGGCCGTTGCTGGGCACTGTCCTGCTGCCTCAGGGCTGGGGTCCCTCCTGGGCCTGCAGCGCACCAAGTGGCCCTGTCCCTGTTGAGAAGGAGAGCAGAGCCCTGACCGGTGTGGGAAGGCCACGAGGCCCACGTGACGGGGCCTCCGGGGGCCGTGGGGGCCCAGGCAGGCCACGGGGACAGCCGTGTCTTTTTTTTTGGGTGGACGGGAGGACGATTAAGGCCTCTGGGTTCCCCTGGCCCCTTCTCTCGGGGGGAGTGACAGGATGAGCGGCAGCGAGTTAGCCAGCCCGTGTGCCAGCCGCGGCGGGACCGTGCGGGACAGCGACGGAAGAATCGGGTTCCGGCGTGGCTGCGGCCGGGCTGGCTGGGGAAAGGGCAGAGTGTGGGTCAGGGTGGGACGAGGCGGCGGGCGAGGGGCAGCTGGGACGGGCCAGATCGCAGCTGGAGCCTGGTGAGCCTGTAGTTTGCAGGAAAGGTGCTTTGGTTTTGTTTTAATCAGAAAGATTTACAGAGAGAAGGAGAGACAGAAAGATCTTCCATCTGCTGATTCACTCCCCAAGTGGCCGCAGTGGCCGGAGCTGAGCCGATCCAAAGCCAGGAGCCAGGAGCCTCTTCCGGGTCTCCCACGCGGGTGCAGGTCCCAAGGCTGTGGGCCGTCCTCCACTGCTTTCCCAGGCCACAGGCAGGGAGCTGGATGGGAAGTGGGCCTGGCCCAATAGCGTAGTGGCTAAAGGCCCCGCCTTGAACGCGCTGGGCTCCCATGAGGGCACGCTGGGGCCTGTGCTGGTCCTTCTGTGGCCTGTGGGTTAACATGGCACGTTGTTGCCAAGGATTGCCCACGGGGTGGCAGGTGTGCGCACATCCTCTGTGGCGAAATTCTCACCCGCGAGACGGGCAGTGTAGTCCGGGTGTCTCATGGGGTGGCGGGGTCCCAAGGCCCTGTGGCATCACCACCGTGTGTCAGGGCTGGAATTTGAACCCAGACACTGCAACCTAGGGGCTGTGTGTGTTCCCAGGCGCTGCCCAACCTGTGGCCTTCGGGGTGGCCCTGTCCTGGGGTGGCCCTGGGGTGGTCCTGCCCTGGGGTGGCCCTGTCCTGGGGTGGCCCCATCCTGGGGTGGCCCCATCCTGGGGTGGCCCCATCCTGGGGTGGCCCTGTCCTGGGGTGGCCCTGCCCTGGGGTGGCCCTGCCCTGGAGTGGCCCTGGGTGGCCCCGTCCTGGGGTGGCCCTGCCCTGGAGTGGCCCTGGGTGGCCCCATCCTGGGGTGGCCCTGTCCTGGGGTGGCCCTGCCCTGGGGTGGCCCTGCCCTGGAGTGGTCCTGGGGTGGCCCTGCCCTGGGGTGGCCCTGCCCTGGGGTGGCCCTGCCCTGGAGTGGTCCTGGGGTGGCCCTGCCCTGGGGTGGCCCTGCCCTGGGGTGGCCCTGCCCTGGAGTGGTCCTGGGTGGCCCTGTCCTGGGGTGGCCCTGGGGTGGTCCTGCCCTGGGGTGGCCCTGCCCTGGGGTGGCCCTGTCCTGGGGTGGCCCTGCCCTGGGGTGGCCCTGCCCTGGGGTGGCCCTGTCCTGGGGTGGCCCTGCCCTGGGGTGGCCCTGTCCTGGGGTGGCCCTGCCCTGGGGTGGCCCTGTCCTGGGGTGGCCCTGTCCTGGGGTGGCCCCATCCTGGGGTGGCCCTGCCGGGGGAGGTGCCCGTGTGGCCCCCAGGCTGCCCCTGTCCACTTGGCGGATGGCCCAGCTCGTTCCTCCCCAGTACTGCCCCCTCCAGCATGTGGGTCAGCCTGTGCGGGACCCTGGGCTGGGACGGGGAGGGGGCCGTCACCCAGTCTGCAGACGGGTCCTGGGATGCTGCCCATCTCACAGGGGAAACTGAGGCACCCAACAGCGAGAGTGGCTCAGCTCAGCTTACAGTGCCAGGAAAGTAGCACAGGCAGAAGGGGGCACGGAGGGCGGGGCCTGCGACTGGGGCGGGGCCAGACCGGTGGAAGGGGCCTGCGACTGGGGCGGGGCCAGGCCGGTGGGAGGGGCCTGCGACGGGGCGGGGCCAGGCCGGTGGGAGGGGCCTGCGACGGGGGCGGGGCCAGGCCGGTGGGAGGGGCCTGCGACGGGGGCGGGGCCAGGCCGGTGGGGGGCTGAGACGGGCGGGGCCTGCGCTGCTGTTTAGTGGGCGGGGCCGATCTGGGTGGGCGGATCCTGGGGCGGGGCTGATGCTGTAGAGCACTCCCGAGCTGATGGGTGGGGCCGAGCCTGGTGGGCGGGCCCTGAGTTGCCTGGTGGGCGGGGCCCGAAGCCTGGTGGGCGGGGCCGGCCTCGCGTCAGGCGAGACCACCCCAGTGCAGCCCGGGCAGCTTCGTGCTCAGAACTTGGGGTCGCCCGGCCTGCCCCCCGTAACCCAGCGTCTCCCCCGGCCCCACAAAGAAAGTGAGCTCGGACGACGACCCCGGAGCCCTGGGCGGACCCCGCAAGCGGCCCACCTCCACCTCTTCCTCGCCGGAGCCCCCCGAGTTCAGCACCTTCCGGACCTGCCCCTGAGCCGCGGCCCGGGGACCCCCGTGCGACCCGGGCGTGGGGGCGGTGGGGAGTGGGGGGCGGTGGGGAGTGGGGGTGCGGCCCCGGGGATCGCATCACTACTGGAGGACCAGCGGGGGGACCCCGACCCCTCTGGGGAGACCCCGGCCCCTCTGTGGGTCCCGGGCCCTCTGGGGAGACCCCGGCCCCTCTGGGGAGACCCTGGCCCCTCTGGGGGAGACCCCGCCCCTCTGGGGAGACCCTGGCCCCTCTGGGGAGACCCCGGCCCCTCTGGGGAGACCCCGGCCCCTCTGGGGGAGACCCTGGCCCCTCTGTGGGGGTCCTGGCCCCTCTGTGGGGGTCCCCGGCCCCTCTGGGGGAGACCCCGGCCCCTCTGGGGGAGACCCCGGCCCCTCTGTGGAGACCCCGCCCCTCTGGGGGAGACCCCGGCCCCTCTGTGGAGACCCCGACCCCTCTGTGGAGACCCTGGCCCCTCTGTGGGGGTCCCCGGCCCCTCTGGGGAGACCCCGCCCCTCTGGGGGAGACCCCGGCCCCTCTGGGGAGACCCCGCCCCTCTGGGGGAGACCCCGGCCCCTCTGGGGAGACCCCGGCCCCTCTGTGGGTCCCAGGCCCTCTGGGGAGACCCCGACCCCTCTGGGGAGACCCTGGCCCCTCTGGGGAGACCCCGGCCCCTCTGGGGAGACCCCGGCCCCTCTGGGGGAGACCCTGGCCCCTCTGTGGAGGTCCTGGCCCCTCTGTGGGGGTCCCAGGCCCCTCTGGGGGAGACCCCGCCCCTCTGGGGGAGACCCCGCCCCTCTGGGGGAGACCCCGGCCCCCATTTTGGAAAACCTGGTTTCAGCTGTGTCCGGGTGCCAGCGGATGCAAGCCCTCTCTCTGTCTCCCTCCCTCTGTGTACTTGAAGTTTGAAATAAATCTTATTTTAATAGGAGCACAATCATAATGACCCACACTGCCATTCCACGTTCGGAGCCGCAGGGGGCGCCCGGGCAGCAGGGGCGGGGCCAAGGGCGGAGGGGCGTGGCCCCGGGGCGACCACGCCCCGCGGCGTCGGCGTCGGCGTCACAATGCCGGGCGTGGCCCCGCCTCGGCGTGCGTGCGTGCGGCCGGGCCCGCCCTCCGTGCGGCGGCGGGCGGCAGGGGGCGCTGCGCAGCGCGGGCGGCAGGGGGCGCTGCGGCTCGGCGGGCGCTCGGCGGGCGGCTCGGCCTGCGCGGCGTCCTGGGCCCGGGCGCGGCGGCGGGGCCGGCGGGGCTGGCGGGGCCGGCGGGCGGGCTGGCGGCGGGGCCTGGCGCGGCGGGGCCTGGGGCGGCGGCCAAGATGGCAGCGGCGGCGGCGGCGGCGGCCGGGGGGCCCGGCGCGGGCGGCCCGGGGGGCGCGGGGCCCTGCGCGCCCGTGTCCGTGTTCCCCGGCGCCCGCCTCCTCACCATCGGAGACGCCAACGGAGAGATCCAGCGGCACGCCGAGCAGCAGGCGCTGCGCCTCGAGGTGCGCGCCGGGCCGGACGCGGCGGGCATCGCCCTGTACAGCCGTGAGTGAGCGGGCCGGGGGCGGGGGGCGCACGAGGCCGAGCCCGGGCATGGGTGCGGGGCTGAGGGGCGCAGGAGGCCGAGCCCGGGCATGGGTGCGGGGCGGGGGGCGCAGGAGGCCGAGCCCGGGCATGGGTGAGGGGCCTGAGGGGCGAGGGGCGCACGAGGCCGAGCCCGGGCATGGGTGCGGGGCGGGGGGCGCAGGAGGCCGAGCCCGGGCATGGGTGAGGGGCCTGAGGGGCGAGGGGCGCACGAGGCCGAGCCCGGGCATGGGTGCGGGGCTGAGGGGCGCAGGAGGCCGAGCCCGGGCATGGGTGAGGGGCGGGGGGCGCAGGAGGCCGAGCCCGGGCATGGGTGAGGGGCCTGAGGGGCGAGGGGCGCACGAGGCCGAGCCCGGGCATGGGTGAGGGGCTGAGGGGCGCACGAGGCCGAGCCCGGGCATGGGTGAGGGGCCTGAGGGGCGAGGGGCGCACGAGGCCGAGCCCGGGCATGGGGTGCGGGGCTGAGGGGCGCACGAGGCCGGGCATGGGGGTGCGGGCCCTCCGCCCCGACATACAGCAGGAAGTAGTGGATGGGGGTGGGCACCCCGCCGAGCCGGGAATGTGGGGGGTGTCCAGGGCGCGGGACACCCTTCCCCATCCCCACCGTCTCCTAAGGACACTTGGAAAGTGGGGGGCTCCCCTGGGGAACCCCACACCTTTCCTTGTCCGCACCCCCCACACCCACCCCGACTGGAAAACTTCGGCCTTCACCCCCAAAGTGCGGGGGAGCCGCAGGATGTGACCCGCGCAGCAACGTGGCGGGCTCCCCCAAACACACCTGCCCACGTGAGCAGCGTGGCCAGGCCTCCTGGGTCCCCTCGCGGTCCCCCAAAAGCGCCCTACGCAGGGAGGGGGTGGGAGAAGCCAGGTCCAGGTGTGTGTGTGTGTGTGTGTGTTCTGCTTTTCTTTCACAAGGTTGTATTCCGCACTGACATTCGGGCGAGGGGGAGATGAGATCTGTGTGTAAAAGGCCGGCCCACGCGTGGCCGCGGGCCTGCGCTGTCTTTGTAATTGAAGCTTTCCTGTTACTGTTGCAGCTCACATGGTTTTCTCTTTCCTTTCGCTATTCTGTTTCACCCTTTGTCCCTCTGGGGTTTCTGGGCCGGTGCTGCTCGGCTTTGCGCTCCTGGCGGATTCCCTTGTTCCGTCACTGTGCGCGTGGGGTGGCTCATGCACGTGGGGTTCGGCCGGCACCCTGACTTCGGAGGAAGGGGAGCTGGTGCTGTGGGAGGGAGGTGGCCCGGCCTAGGCCCCGTCTCTCCCGGGGAGGGCCAGTTCTATCTGTTCTGTTGATGAAATGTATGCACCAATACTTGTGGTCCCTAAGCCTGTGCTTCATGGAAGTGGCCTGGCTGGCCGCCATGTCCCTGGCATCCCCACGCACAGCCATCCTCCGCTGCCTCACGCCTGGTGTGGCCGCCACAGCCAGGGCTGGGCCACGCGGAAAGAGCCAGGGCTCCGGCTGGGTCAGTCCCGGGGCTCAGGGGCCCGAGGACTCGGAGCTGGTTGGGAAGTGGCGGAAACCCAAGCCCTGGGACTCGAAGTCCCGAGTGGGGCTTAGCCCACGGTCCCCGCCCCCCAGCCGGCCCGAAGTCCCGAGTGGGGCTTAGCCCACGGTCCCCGCTCCCCCAGCCGGCCCAAAGTCCCGAGTGGGGCTTAGCCCAATGGTGCCCGCTCCCCCAGCCGGCCTGAAGTCCCGAGTGGGGCTTAGCCCACGGTCCCCGCTCCCCCAGGCCGGCCCGAAGTCCCGAGTGGGGCTTAGCCCAATGGTGCCCACTCCCCCAGGCCGGCCCGAAGTCCCGAGTGGGGCTTAGCCCACGGTCCCCGCCCCCCAGCCGGCCCAAAGTCCCGAGTGGGGCTTAGCCCAATGGTGCCCGCTCCCCCAGCCGGCCTGAAGTCCCGAGTGGGGCTTAGCCCACGGTCCCCGCTCCCCCAGCCGGCGCAGGATTTCTTGGTGCTTTTTCTCTTTGTGCATTTCATTTATGTCTTTGCAAAGTCAGGTCTTCCACTCGCTCGTTCACCTCCCCAGATGGCTGTAGCAGCCCAGGGCTCTCAGCCTGCTGGGCACAGCGTGTGAGCCTTGTCCCAGCTTCCCGCCAGGGTGCAGGGGCCCATCTCCATGTGCTTTTCCTAGGCGCCTTAGCGGGGAGCTGAACTGCAAGTGGAGCAGCTGGGACCCGAACTGCTGCCCGCCTGGGCCGCTGGCAGTGCAGGCCACAGGTTAGCCTGGTACGACACACTGTACGCTCCTTTCCCGCTTGCTTTTTTTGAACGTTTGTTTATTTCAATGGGAGAGTGTCAGTGGGAAACGGGAGTGTTGCGTCAATCCCCTGGTACCCACGCGTCCAGGTTTAGTGCGGACCAAAGCCAGCAGTTGGGAGCTGCTGCTGCTGCCTTTTTTTTTTTTTCCCAAAGATTTATTTATTTTTATTGGAAGGCAGATATAGAGAGGAAGATCTTCCGTCTGATGGTTCACTCCCTGAGCGGCCGCAATGGCTGGAGCTGAGCTGATCCGATGCCAGGAGCCTCTTCCAGGTCTCCCATGCGGGTGCAGGGTCCCAAGGCTTTGGGCCGTCCTCGACTGCTTTCCCAGGCCACAAGCAGGCAGCTGGGTGGGAAGTGGGGCTGCCGGGACTCGAACCGGCACCCTTGTGCTGAGTTGGAGGCATAGTCTGCTATTCTACAGCAGCTGTTCCACTTTTTTTAAAGGATGTATTTAGTTGAAAGAACTGCAGAGAGGGGTGAAGTCAAGGATGGTGCTCCATCTGCTGATTCATTCCTCAAGTGGCTGCCAGGGCCAGGGATGGGCCCGGACGGAGCCAGGAGACATCGGGTCTCCCACATGGGTGCAGGGATCCCGAGCGCCTTGGCCACCCTCTGGTGCTGAAGCCCCGGTGTATTCACAGGGAGCTGGGTGGGAAGCGGAGCGGCTGGGGCTGGAAAACCAGCATTCAGAACGGGGTGCCGGGGGCCAGAGGGCAGCTTAACACGCTGAGCCACAGCCCTGACGGCCGCTGGGAGCTCCAGGCGGGCTTCCAGGCCTCGGCATGCTTCCTACAGCCTCCCTGGCACCTCCCCGGGCCTGAAAGCTTGGGCCCGTGGGAAGAGTGTGGCTCTCGCCTGTGACAGGACAGCTGCTGTCCTGGGGGAGCTTCCGGCCTCCCGGGCCGCAAGAAGGCTCTGCTGGCACAGTTGCCTGTGTTCCTGCTGGACTGGGGGTTTGCGGGGTGCAGGCTGAGGGCCCTGCATGCGGGGTGCAGCTCAGCCGTATCCCCTCCAGCGGCTCCCCACTGCCGTGGGCCTGGGGCACAGGTGTTGCCGTGTGTGCTGGGCGCACTTAGAGACCTGCCGTGTCCCCCCATCAGTGTCACCAGCGCGGTGCAGGAGAAGGCTAGCTGACCTAGGGCACGCGTCCCTCAGCCTGGAGGCTGCCTTGGGCCTGTGGGTGCCACTCTGTGACCTCCGCACCCACGGGGACAGATGACAGCTGTCCACTCGCCCTCGCAGCCCTCAGAAGCCATCCTGGCCTCGGTCCACACCGTTAGCCAATGGCAGCCGCCAGCAGTGGGCGGCTGTCCCGGGTCCGCAGGGAGCTTTAGCACGGAGTCCCTGGGCCCCGGAGTTCAGTGACGCCTGCCGCCCGGCCCGGGAACGGGAGGCCTTCGGGGTACATCCAGGCCAGTGCGCAGTGGTGCCAAGAGAGTTGCTTAGAAAAAAGAAGTCCCCGCAGGCTGAGTCCCTGGGCCTGCCACAGTGGCCTGCAGGACCCTGCTGTGTGCCATGTGGGCTCTTGTCCCCAGCTCGGGCTCTGAGTGCGCAGCGTGGCCTTCCCACAGAGAGGCATCTCACAGAGTCAGTTTCGCTCGCTGTCCCGCCAGGCTGAGGGAGCAGAGTGCGAGGGGAGGACCACGGCCGACTTGACGGGGATGCGCTCTGCAGAGAAAGGCCATGCGGTCCCGTGGCTCAGGCTCGGCTGGGTCCGCCGGGTGGGCCGTGGGTTCTCACTGGGGCGACACGTGGCCAGGCTGGTGTGGCCAGCAGGTGGCAGAGCTGGCTCCCCATGTCCGCCTGGCCCCGCGCTTTGCGTGGTCCCTTGAAGGCACCAGCAGTCAGGGCTTGGCTGATTCCCGCGTAGCCGAGCCCCTGAGGAGCCTGGGCAGCTCGAATAGACGGCGTGTGTCATGTGGAGGATGGCAGGTGCCATGCTTGCCGGGAAGGCCGTGCCCTCGGGGCCGTTCCCAGACCCCCTCCAGCTGACCCTCTGCTAGTCCCAAGCCCAGTGCTTGTCCTCACGCGTCATCATAGCTGCTGGGATCCAGCCATCACACCCTAGTCTTCAGAAACT